CAACATAGGGAAAATATCCATAGGTGATGACTAAACCTAAAGACATTAACCTCAGTGCCTCACATGTTGCACATAAACTGGGAAAGACTCATAAAATTCCTTAGTAAATTTTATGGTTGAATTTGGTAGCCAAGGGAAAATCCTCAGAAATACCTTAGGTTTCGCTAGGACGCATTCATTCTACGCCAAGATGAATTCATGCCAAGGGTCGACGTCTTTGTTGCCCCACCCCTTATATATTGTTTTAGGAATTCCTCTACAAGTGTGTTATAATCTGGAACAATGTTGATTTCCCAAAGACCATCCAACACTTCTCGCCATACCATTGGAAGAATGGTTATTAGGGCTTTAACCTTCTCAAAATCTGGCATAAGGTAACCATTCCAAATGATATCTTGTATTATCTTGTTGACTTCAATAACGTTCGTCATCATGTCAACACGACCGTCCCATCGATAAATGGCTAACTCATATCTTAGCCTCGAGAGTCTCGACCTTTGTTCATCCGTTCTTGGGAATATAGACGAGCATATCCTATGTGCCATTGTTCCTGCAACAAATACAAAACAGAAAAGGATTACTCATAATCCATGGTATAGCAAAATAGTGAACGTTTATTCATATACACGTGAGCCAGCAATTGTATTTCCAAAAATACAAAAGAAAATGCCACACATGGCATAGCTGGCATCCACGTCTGCGGTTTTTAGCCAAAATCAGCCGAAAGGACTAAATTGTCAAAAAGGTTTATAACTAATTGGACAAATTGAAATGTTTAGAATTAAATTGGCATCCGTACAATATGTTTAAGACTTTTTTAGTCAATTTTCCTGAAAAGCGCCCTCCATATGCAAGCGTCCAACAATTGTAGGCGATTAATTTCCAATGCCTTAATGTATATCAGTTTAAATAATTTAAAAAATCTTTCATCCTTCAATTCATTTGCATTCAAAAACTAGATTACTACAACTTTGAAAAGATAAAGTGACATCCAAATTTCTGAATAGATGATGCAGAAATTATTAATTTATGATATCAAATTTTTTTGGTCAAGATGCGTGTGTGGAAGCGAATACAAAGAAATTAGTTTGTTAGGTGATCCAACATAACTTATTTCAAAAGGACACTAATACGCGTAGTGCTAAGTTATTGCCCGAAATTATGTACGTATCTACACGTAGACCATGTTTTTTCCCCTATCTGATTGGAGGGTTGGATTAACCATTCAGCTAAATGGTTCATTACATGCATGAAGATCACCCACATTTAGATATAATTAAATTTGTTCGTAGATACGTTCATAACTTACAACTCACCTATAAAAAAACATAGATCCTTGAATCTCGCATGGAGAAAAAATAGCCCTTTATGCATTCGGAATTAGTTGCATGTTATTTGCGTGGAAATTTCTTTCAAAATGCCACAAAGTAATCAAAGTGGTCCGTGACACTCAACCGAAGAAAGGGAAAAAGAAAAAAACTTTGGCATATGCTTGATGCTGAACAAACAAACTCTAAACGTAGCTTGTGTTGACAAGGAGAAACTCCAATGCGTGAATAACTCGAAGAACAAGGGATAATATTATGCCACTAGGACACATGGAGACAGTTAAAGGACCGTTCATTGCTTTCCTTTTTCTTTCCTAATTAAAGAGAACCGAGCGATTACATCCAGAAAGCGGGCATAGATACAATGTTTATGAATTTCGTCTGTCGATACCATTTCATTTGTTTGCCCCGAAATGTTTGTGGCGCATTCCTTAACCAGCAAATAAAGGGAAACAGTAAAAAGAAGAAAAAAGAAGCGCGAATGCATTTAAAAGGAGAAAAACCTCGCAAGGGTGAATATATCACCCGGAAAAATCGGAAAATGAGTTGGAGGTTGACTGTGACTCCAGCAGCGCCCACACACAGCCTGTGCTGATCTAAATCTGTGTAAACCGAATGGTTGGTGTGTAAAGTAACCGAAGGGTTATGCTAGCAAACTCCTTTTGCTTCCATTCATACTACATCACGCCTTTGATGTTCATAATGATTACCAAAAAAAGACCAACATTTTAGCATGTTCCTTCCCTATTACTTCCTTACTGAAAGTGTTGAATAAAAAAGAGAGAACTAAAATATTTAGCCCAGTTGTTATACTATAAAGCCACCCACCAAGCCCTTCCTGAAGAGATTGATAGGAATTCCTGTTTGTATTACACCTCACCCATCATGCTCACCACCTGTTCGACATTTTGCCTCAGAGGTGACACCATAAAATGGTGAATTAGTTGGAAACTTTGTTTGGTTGCTCTATAAGAGCTTGAAGAACACTCTGAAACTCTTTAGACAATGAATGCTCTATAAAATAAATCGATTGCCCAAATATATACGTACACAGGCTTACCAATTAGGATGTCTTTTAGAAAAAAATTCTGTTGTCTGGTATTTATGAACTGCTGTAAAATGGGAGCACAACCATATCAATAGTCAAAAGCAAGCTTAATTAAAAGAAATGAAATTCCCTAGTCAATTGCTTGAATTAGAAAACAGAGAATCGGCATGTTAGAAAATTGTGGCCTCCGAACCTGAGCAATTTTGCCGAAAACATAATGGCTAGGGAGGCTTTCAGATTTTCTCTTATTTCTAGGAAGATTGTGAGTGTTCAAAAATGGAAAAGGAAAAGGAAAAGGAAGAAACACAACCGCGGAAGCTTAACTAGATGGCCTCTCCTATAGCAAGTACTTATTTTTGGACTGGACCATCTAATTGTATATTCACAATTTATATGATACTTCTATTCTAACTAGTCCGATTGAACTAAAAAGTTTTTGTGAACTTAGTGTCACCCCTTTTCCACCCTTCTAACAATAGAATTGAACCTATTTAAAGGTAACTTCGAAGATTATGAACATAATGTCTATTGATTCTAGTATCTTTACAATCATCTTCAACTTTAATAATTATAAGACTAGTAACATACTACCATGTTTATTGATTCTAGTTGTGAATGTAAAATGCACTCAAATTGATATTGACTTTGCTTGTGAAATTTCACATATAATGATTGATGACATGTGTACTCATCAATACTTTTAATAATGTCAAATGCACTTGTATCGATATTGATTTTAGTTCCTATTACTAGTAGATGGCAAGTTCATCAAAGGAAAAGGCATTTTGGAGCCCGGAAGATGTAGAAACCTTTTGTAAGTTGTACGTTGAACAAATTGATAATGGAAATCATCCTGCAAATAATAAATGAGATGGATGGACATTTATAATTAAGAGGTTTGAGGACCTAAGGGGCAAAAAGTATGATAAAATTCAAATGAAGAGTGAGTGGGATAATCTTAAGGAAGAATGGAAAAGATTGAGGATATTGGTTTTTGAAGGAAACAAGATTAGGATGGGATCCAAAAAAGAATACCATTGAAGCAAGTGATGATTGGTGGGAGAGAAAAATTCAGGTTTTTTCCAATTCTTTTGTTACTTTTTTTTAAGTTAATCTTTTACGGTACAACTCACGAACATGTTTATCATAACAGGAAAATCCTAAGGTTAGAGTTTTTAGAACGAAAGGCATATATCCAGATCTTCAAGTTTTGTTGGATAGAATGTTTGGGGATATGATTGCTACTAGAAGTGTCACATAGAATCTTGCGCAAGGTTTATGTATTGATGAGGATATTGTGGCCACACAACTTGACATTGATGATTGTGCAGGATCTACTGATAATAATGTAGAATCTAATTTAGGTGAAATGATTGTTGAACGGGCTCAAAGCCATAAAAGAACGTCGCAGAGTTCGGTGAGGCAATCTCAAGGAAAGAAACAAAAGAAAATGACCACAGCTGCTAAGCTAGCAACGCAAATGGAAAGAATTTGTTCAGCTATTGAAAGTAGGAGCCATGCGAGGGAGTTTGATCCTTATAAGGAGATCATAGACATGGTGAAAGCCATACCTGCGATTAAGCAAGACGAAGAGTGATACTTTTTTGCACTAGATCATTTTGCAGAAAAGATTTAGATCCCAATTTATATACCGATGATGTAAATGAGGAGGGTAGTGCTTCAAATTATGACTCTGCTTTTAACATGACACGTTTACATGATCAAATAGCTATAAGTTTAGGAAATATTTAGGGATGTTTGTAATTTTTAAGGATAATGAATTTCTTTCGTTGGAGCATTTGTTACCACATTTATTGCAATGAAAGTATTCTTATTTGGATCCCAATTTATATACCGATGATCTAAATGAGGAGGGTAGTGCTTCAAATGATGACTCTACTTCTTACATGGCACGTTTACGTGATCAAATAACTATAAGTTTAGGAAATATACAAGGATATGTGTAATTTTTAAGGATAATGAATTTCTTTCGTCGGAGCATATTTTACCACGTTTATTGGAATGAAAGTATTATTTTTTTAATTTGAAAAAGAGATCACTTTGAGGTGAATTTTTTCCATTTGAATTTGTTTAGCAAGAAAAAGAAATTTTATTTTTTAATTAAAAATTTTAACACGATATCTTTTAACATTGTTGTCAATATTTAAATTTGCAGACATTTTTTTTTTCAATTTTAAACCAATTAAAAATTAAAATGCTTAAATTAATCATTCAAAGGGACTTTTTAAATGCGTTTCCACCAAACAGCTTTTCTCTTAAAGTTGCTTCTTAAAGCATAATTTATCAAACAGTTTTTGCATTTCCCCAAAGCCCCTTAGCCTAAAGTGCTTTGCATTTCTCCAAAGTCTCTTGGAAATGCTGAACCAAATGCACCCAAAGCCACCCACAAAGCCCTTCCTGAAGAGACTCACAACCCAACCCAACGGAAGATCCCGACCCCCCTTCCTATGTCAGAGAAGAGAATAATACTTTTGGCAGGAAAACGAGAAGAACTTTAAATGGTAAGAGACAATATAGTAGAGAGTGGGTATGGCTCAGAGGGCAAGCCCATGGACAAGAGGCATGCCAAGGAGGACTGAGAGGAAGAGGAAGAAGAGATGACGATGTCGGTGGAGAGGGTGTTTGAGAGCAAGGAGGTCCTGCAATGGAGGCAACAACTGACGGTGAGGGCCTTCGTGGTGAGCTTCGTGAGCTGAACCTTACCAATGGGATCATCCCGTCCTTGAATGTGTCGGTTGGGCTTTTGGCTTCTTCTTCGTCAAGACTTGGACCAAAGTGCGAGAGAAGTCCGGGATGTTGCAGGTCCCCTTCATGAGGCAAGAGAACACTTTGATTCAGACCTGTGTTGTTGCCTCCTCTAGGCTCGCTTTTAGCGGTAACGACCCCTTCATGCCCATTTCTTCCTATTAATTTTATTTTTAAATTTTATTTATGTAACTGCGTAACATTGTCCATTCTTCTTTCCAGGAAGCTACTTGTTGACAATGAACCATAAGTTCACAGGAGTATAAGAAATCATCATTGGCCTGGATGATCGGATTCCTCTTAAATGTGAGTTTTATGGGGCTCTTGGTAGTGGTGCCATCAGCAAGGTAATTATAGGTTCTAACGAGCAGAATGTAAGATTTTGCAGAACCACTGGCTGTTCTACAAGGCATTCAAGGACCTAGATCTTTCTACTAGTGTGTATGTGACGCCCCAGAACGTCACGTGCGATACGTGTCTTTTCCAAGTTTTTTTTATAACTATTAAAACATGCGGAAGCACGATAAGGCATTCACACCATTCCCATACATGTATAATAAAATACATATGCATCTTTTTATAATATTAACATCAATTTTACAATACAACATTCAGTAAAAAAAAAACAAAATACATGATTTCTGGGAAAGGTCAGGGTCACCTAACTTCAACTTTATACTAGTATGCCCAAAAGCTTGCTTATACATTGCCCGATCGTCAACTAAGGATCGATGACTTCACCCAACGACATGCCATCATCGCCAAACCCCGGAGAACCGTCGAAACCTCTAAGCGGTCCAACTAACTCGCCCTCAATATTCACATACCAAGCTACATAACTATGGATTATATACTCTGGTAACCCCACGTCGACCCATAACACGGTAGTACACCTAGTATAAACCACTGGTGATCCAGGCACAACAACGTCTTCATAATTATAATCAAAAAACATAGGAGATCCAATACGCGGCGGCAGTGAGGGATCCATCCTACATATCTGAAAAATAAGGAGTAAGCCGAGGCCCAGTAATTGAAATCTCTAAGTCTAAGGTAGAAGATTCACTCACCACTCAACCTGGTATCAACAATAATTATGAGTCCAAGACAGTACAAAATACATGAATCGTGATACTACCCGTCCAATCATGACATGTCAATGAAACAACAATAATATTACATAAAATCAATCATTCATGTGAAAATGGATAGCATGTTATATATCATAAATATCCATAACATCTCATTGATTCATATTCGTCACCGGCAAGGAACATCTCGATTCACGAGGCATCTCGACTAACGAGGCATCGTCACCACCAAATCATGGAGGACGGAATCATTCATACCCTTTGTTACGCCTCGACCCATCCATCACGGGTGTCATCTTCATTAGTGAGGATAAATACACTACTGTACATCCGCGTGATTATGGTCGTTTCTTAACATCATACCATGGCAAAACCATGTCATACCATGACTACAAGAGTCATGTCATCATAGGATTTCATATCATCTCAACCTTGTAGAGAACCGTTTCATACGGTAGAACATCTTGCTGACTCCAGAGTTTTATCCATAAGCTCATACAAGGGAATTCGCTCGGTGGCGAATAGGCCGTGATAAAGGTCTTATGTATTTAACAACAAAGGCATACATAATTAATTACAACGCAAACAATGTCACATATTTTCATAATTACGATCGCAAACCACAACATGTCAATCTCTTTACATTTCACATAATATACAATAAAATCAATTAATTATGCACCTCTTAACATGAGAAATTTTCTTTTCTTTTCACTAGGCCAATATCAATTTAGAAAAGCACTTTTGCAAGTTTTATAGCATTTAAATACTAATACTCCATAATTTAGTATCTCATCTAATTTTTATTTATTTATTTATTATTTTAAACCCCCATAATCACGCTTACTTTTACCACATATAAAAGTGATCATTTCTATTATTCCAAATTCTTGAAATTAGAAAATTATCCTAGTAAAATTTCTCATTTTATAATTTTACCCCTAATTTTCGATTTTTAACCAACCAAGTCATAATAATTAAATTAAAAACTAAAGAATAATATTTTTATTCTTTAAAACACACAAACATTTTAATTACATTATAGACACCCCATAATTTACAAAATTTTCAAAACTTTCCACTTTTAATTAATTATAACAAATTGCTCCAATTTTGCATTGTTAAATATATGACCTAATTTAACAATTTTCTCTAAAAACTAACTTAACCACTTATCAAAATAAGGTTCCACATACTGTGATCAATCCCCAGAACTTCCAGTTTTTACGGATTCGCCCTTCAACTTTGGCCAAATTACAAATTTGCACCTAAAGCTTATAAACTCATTTTTTTCAACCGGTTTGATTTCCTTTAACTAATAATACTTAATAACCCACTAATTAACATTAAAAAATCATAAATTAACACTGTTCACAGCACCTCATTAATACTGTAAATTCGAAATTCTTCCTTACCATGACAACAAAATTTACCAAAATACCCTTTTATGCCTAATTTTATCATTTTCCCACCTTTCTCATTCAAGATGCAACAAAACACACTAATAAATTTCTCAAAGACATCTATGCATGTAGAGAGCTTTATAATTCAACCTCAACAATTACAATAGTACAACATACACTATTAAACTTGCTCACACGTAACAAAAAAAATCCAAACTAAATAACAACCAATCAACCAACCAAGATCAAGAGCACTAAATGAATCAATCTAGCTTAGCCTTAGAGTTTTCGCTTACCCAAAGTGTAATCTTCAACAAGGCAAACCTCTAACCACCTTGAAATCAAAATAGTAACTAAAAATTAACAAATCTTGTTCTTGTGAAAACAACAAAGCATATTTGATAAAGAAAAAAAAAGAAAAAAAGAAAGGAAATCCAACAATATATCTTGTCAAGAAGCTAGATTGAAAATGAGCTTGAACTTTGATTTTCTTCTTCTTCTTCTTCTTCTTCTTCTTCTTCTTCTTTTGAAAGAAAGCAAAAAGGAAAAATCTGTTCGTGAAGAAGAAGAAGAAGAAGAAGAAGGGAGTGGACGAGAAGAAGAAGAAGGAGAAAGATAAAGTCTCTTATCTTTCAAAATTTTACTACAATTAAAAGTATTTTGGGGTCACATTAATTTACTTGGGTTAAAGGCTATAATATCAAGTAACTATAGTTATATTTAGATAAAAACTTACTAGGGTTAAAATGTATTAGGTCATGCATGATGTCATATTTTAAATTAGGCATGCGACAAAATAAATTGAAGATTAAGACATTTATTCATGTTAATAAAATGACAAATAGTATAATTTAATTGAATAGAGGAAGATATTAAATTATTTTGGGTATAAACTATACATAGCGGTAAATAAACGGAGAAATCGATATTGGTTTGAAATGCCTGTAAATCAGAAAATTATTTTGAAACCGCTAAAATCATTAATAAAAGGTATAGCGTCAAAGTAACACTTTAACTCAATAAAATTTTAATGCTTGAAATTTATTCGATACGTAATTTGGAGAGTATCGGTCCCCGTTGACAATTACTAAACTAATTTTATTATCTTAATAACTCTCACTACTAAAGATCTTGAATATCATAAACTGTGAAGAAAATTTCGGATGTCACAGTGTACGCCACGTGTATGGGAGCGGGCTCACAGACTACTCCCTCGTGTCGACCTACGGTTCGCTCGCCATCTTCGTGATGAGGTCGTGATGTCAAAATGAGTTTGAGGGGATCTTAGAGATAATTCGGGATTGCTCTTGAAAAGATATATTTTGATAATTTTATTAATTATCCGTTTCTTTTAAAATTGCACGTACATTGCATGAACATTGCACGAACATTGCACGTATAATTCCCTTTGATCGTGCATATCTTGATTGAGATATTATTTTTGAATATTTGTCTAACAAAGCTTATAATCAAGTCAAGTTGATAAAACTTATTACTCCAGTTCGACTCCACTCGAACACTCGCATCAATTCTAGATCAAAGAAGCCGCATTTGTTGTTATAAGGGAAATGAAGTGAATGCAAGTACAGGAATTCATATATGCCACATGAAACAGCCGTTATCTATGAGGAAGAGGAAGGGAAACGATGCTACTAACAAAACTTCCTAACGCCAATTTTCTCTTTTGTAACCTTCCACTGCATGGTCATATCACGAACTTGTGTTGATATTTGATACCGGAAGCCGGAGGGTTTGGGTTGGCGGGAGCATCGCTGTCCCCACGACATGTTCCGTGGGAAACTTGGACTTGTGGTTGTCCCGGTCCATCTCATTCTTGAAGGCAGAATTGGAGCTTCCGCAATACCGCGTGGCTCTGCGGTGCACCGCTTCATTGGGAGACTGCACTCCTTTGGGTGTTTTGCATTGCTTGGTACACCCGGGATGGTGGCACTTCGGCATTGCGAGAGGAAGAGGAATGAAGATTTGGCGGTAGGAGAGAATTTAATAGCCGATGAAGTAGACTGAAACCACATACAGGCGATTTATTTATAGAGGAGGAGGAGGAGATGGCATTGCTGTAATTTCCTAAAATAAAAAAAAAAGGGAAAATAGAAAAAAAAAATGTATGATAAACCCGAAAATGGCTTTTGAGCGAGACAGAGCGAGAGCGAGATAAGCCCTAGAATCCGATGGTCTAGTCTCCGGCGTCTGGAGAGCCGACAATGGAGCGGCCGCTTAGAGCACTTGAATCGTTTGGAGAGTATCGGTCCGCGGTGACAATTACTAAACTAATTTTATTACATTAATAACTCTCACTAATAAAGATCTTGAATATCATAAACTGCGAAGAAAATTTCGGATGTCACAGTGTACCCCACGTGTATGGGTGCGGGCTCACAGACTAGTCCCTCGTGTCGACCTACGAGTTGCTCGCCATCTTCGTGATGAGGTCGTGATGTCAAAATGAGTTTGAGGGGATCTTAGAGATAATTTGGGATTGCTCTTGAAAAGATATATTTTGATAATTTTATTAATTATCCGTATCTTTTAAAATTGCACGTACATTGCACGAACATTGCACAAACATTGCACGAACATTGCACGTATAATTCCCTTTGATCGTGCATATCTTGATT